TTTTTTTTTTTTTTTTTTTTTTTTTTTTTTTTGTCTTTTTCCGTGTCCGGCAACGGATCGCAACCCTCAGTGTCGCCCCCGTACCGGACCGGGACCGGCAACAGGATCGCAACCCTCGGCGTTGCTCCCGCGCCTTGCTCAGCCAGTGAGCGGGAACCGGTCTGTATGTGGGATCCGAACCCTCGGCGGAAGCGCCACCACGCTTCCCAAGCGGCGCACTATAGCAGTGCGCCACCGGGCCGGCCCCGCTAATCTTTAAATATATAGAAATTCTACCCAAACAGAGAGATCCAGGGGACTCTGGAAAGATGCTAGTGAAATTTCACTGGCAGTGCCTCAGGTCATCAATTTTACAAAAGACCCCAAAGTTCCACTGTTCAGAAGGGAGCATAGCCATTGCTTATTTGAACTCAACACCCAAGAGAATACATTACTAAGAATCTTTACTCAAACTTTTCATCACGGTGCTGCCATGTTTCTTCACAATCACCTTTGAACAAAGGCGGAAGCCAGGATCCCAACAGGAGTATTTCGATAAGAACACTCTACCTTCACCAGCTAACTGGGCCAGGCCCCTCACTTCTCCTACCACCATACCACAGAACACTTTATGTCCAAGTGCATTTGACTGTGACTCAGAACCATAACCTCTGAAGATATTTTTATCTGTCTTAGAGGCTTCCCTGGAACAACTCAGGATCTGACCTTCTGTAGCAAGAAGACATGAATGAGCCTGCCATGCCCACCACTTATCCTTAGCTCCTAGCATGATACTTGGTAACACTGTAGATACTCTACTGATATTTGCTGAACACGTACTATTAAATGCTAGCAGGCATCATTAATTCTGGTTTCCCAACGTGAGATCACTCCATATTCACAGCATTGTGCATTCATGTAGTTTATTAGGACCCTAGGCCTGGTCCTAGGCACCCTGGGAGACCATCTAGCCAGAAATACTCCCTTCCCAACTCCTACAATCCCAGAGACCAGGTGTACCCGTGAGATCACTCCATATTCACAGCATTGTGCATTCATGTAGTTTATTAGGACCCTAGGCCTGGTCCTAGGCACCCTGAGAGACCATCTAGCCAGAAATACTCCCTTCCCAACTCCTACAATCCCAGAGACCAGGTGTACCTGCAATAATTCTGCAGTCTTTACTGTTAACCCTGTGATGTGCTGCATCCGACGATTTACTCGGGCCACAACAGGGTCATCATCCTCCTCCAACCAGGAGCTGGGTCAAAAGAAGAGGACAGAGAAAAGAAGACGGGGAAGGCAGGTTTAGATGAGGTCCTGTGCTATCTCCCCTGACTCAGGGCCAGCACTAACAGGCAGTGCAGGGTAAGTGCGGCAAGAGGGGGAGGAAGTACTAGCCAGCAGAACAAGCCAAGCCACCCTCCCTTGGGCAGGCACTGGGATGCCCTAGAGTTGGGGTTTGAGCAGCAGCAGCACCACCACCACCACCACCATCATCAGCATCAGCATCAGCACCACCACCACTTACCTTTTGGAAACCCTGTAGCTGGCAACAGTGAGGACGCCTGTCTTGGGATCACGAACAGTAGCTCGTGCAAGCTAGAAGGCAGGACGACAGGGCAGATTTATCCTTTTTTGCCTTGAGTGTTTTCCCAGAGAGAACTAGGACCAGATCTGCCACGCACATTAGTGGAGGAAGAAGTTTTGCAGGCAGTAGCTCTATTCAAGACCCCATGATCCTGCAGGCCAGGGCAGAATTCTGAGGCCTCCACATTCCCAGTCTGCTATCAGACTCTAGCCACTGCCCTGTTCGGTCACTTTCACTCCTCCTCCTACTCAGATTTATGCTGCCTGTGGAATTATGCCCGTGAAGTTTGCTTTGTCTGTCTATGCATCTGCCTGGACAGCCACCTCCCTCACCAAGCTCACACACCACCCCGGCCTGAGCACAGCCTGAGCTTTGCTGCACCCAACACATTCAGACTGTGCCAAGATCCCTGAACCTCAACCTTATGTGCATCTCTAGACTTGGTCAAGTTCCACAGTCCTTCTGGACTTCAGTGGCATCTTCTGCCAAGAAACCTATCCAGAAACTCTCCTGCTGCACCACCTCACACTGGGCTTCCACTGCTGCAAAGAATAAAGACACAGTTTTCACTCCCTTGGGAACCTCACAAAATCAGATGATATAACCAGGAAGGGATTCTACAAGCTGAGATAAGTGAACTGCTGCCTGAAAACCACCCACCCCCACATACACACTCATGCATACACACATACACACACACCCCTCATGTACTTCATCTCCCCCCAGTCTCCACAGACAGGCTTAGTGATACTCCCAAGAGACCTACTGCCTAGAGCCAGCCTCCAGGGAAAGGGTCCAAGTGCCTCAGCTATAGATATCTAATGATTTCACATGGGTGGAGCCACAGGCCGAGACAACCCCCACCCCAACAGCACTTCCCCTTAATTTCAATAAATTATTTGATAAGTGCCTACTATGTGCCTGGCATTATGCTGGGTGACTGAGACATGCCCCCTGCTGTCATACAACTCAGTCAAGTGGGGAAGGCAGAAAATGAGCCAGGTAATTGCAGCACAGTATAAGTAAGCTTAATATCTTGTGTGAGCTCAGCCTATGGGATTGAGAGTGGCTTCCTAGAGGAGAGGACCACCTAGCTGAGACTTGAAGAGTAAACAGGAGTTAGGCGGGTAGAAGACCATTACAGGAACAGGGAAGGAGCAGCAGTGCAAAGGCCCAGGGATGAAAATGGGTGTGGCACTGACTGAGGATTAGAGGTTATGAGAGGATAACCTAAGAGATGAAAACAGGCTGAAGAGGCAAGCAGGGTCTAGGGTCTAGATGCAACCTTATGGCCAACAAGACACACAGAAGGTTTTATGCAGGGGAGGCACACTTACAATCTGAATGTAAGAAGGATCACTGTGAATAGCTCATGGAGAGCTGACTAAGGAGGGGCCACAGGAGAAACAAGGAGGATGGTGAGGAAGCCACAGCAGACATCAGGGCAAAAAGGTGGCAGTGATCTGGGCCAGGACATGGCAGAAAGGATAGAGAGGAGTGGACAGACCAGAAAGTTGGTCAGGGTGTGAAATCCACCAACCTGGACACCATGCTGCTGGAATATGTTCTGGTAAAATGGCCGACGCACCCAGGACAGATGGCTTCTCTGAGCTCCTTCCTATCCATGGGCCCTCCCTTAGCTTTGGCTCATGCCAGTCCCTCCCTAATAACAACTGCAACCATGGCTAGACACCATGCAAAAATCTGAGCCTCAGCTTTGGCCTGACACCCACAAAGAGGTTCTAGATAGCTGTGCTCTGCCACTGGAGACAGACAGGGCTATTTTGAAAGCGCACCAGGGACTCACAGGCAGCTGCCAGGCATTCCCCACAGGCCAAGTTAAGCTCATTGGTCCTACTTCAAAGCCAGAATAGCATCTGTCCATTACAGCCTCCAGAAAGGAGAGATCAGCTAATGATGGCCAATATGTTTGGCTCTTCACATGGCTTCTGTTCAAAGACAAGTTTTCCCAACACTCCCTCCCCTACCCATGCCATGCACGTACATGTACACACTCACGTACATACGCACGCGTGCGCGCGCGCACACACACACACATACACACACACACACACGTCCTCAGTGTCTGCGACTGAGGGACAGGTAAGGAATCTCTCAGGAGATTTTGGCATGACAGTGCCTCCCTCACTAGTACTTCCCTAGTTTTCTTCCCTGGAGGACTGTGGAGCTGACCCAGAGAATCAGGTCCCCATTCTCCACACACACTGGCTAGACCCTCCCTCAGCCACATCAATGATACCAACAACTGACTCTAAGTCCTAGATGTCCTTGTACCTCAAGCCAAGGCTGTTCCAAGATGAGGTCCAGGGGCCAGGATTGAAACCTATTTCAGGTCTCCCCATAAACACAGGGCCTCCTAGCCACCTTGCCCACTACAGTTTTAGAAGCAGAGCTAAATCCTCCCTCCCAATCATCAGTGATGGAAGAAGGGTGAGATATGGCAGAAAGTAGATCTCTTTGAAACATATCAAATGGGAGAAAGTCTTTTATAGAAACAGAAAAATAATTTTATAACATGACATATATACAAAACCAATAGCCCATTGTATACTTAAGAGGAATTTCCAGGAAATTCAGGAACAAGTCAAGGATGCCTGTTTTAATAATGCTCTGGAAGTTCTGGGCAGTTCAATGATACAAGAAAAACAAAGGAACTGTATTAAGTATCAGGAAGGAGAAAAAATTTTCTCTATTTGCAGGTAATAATACTACCCAGACAACCCAAGAGAATTAGATAAAAACCAAAAAAGAAATAAGTAAATCCAGCCACTGGCTGGGATCTGCACAATTCTGTTTCCTCACGGGTAAAATGAAGATAGTAACATAGTCTACTTAAGAGATGTAATAGTTAATAAATGTTGAACACTTAAAAGGCATCTAGTCACACTTAAGAACTCAGTAAACATTAACTATTACTATGAAATGTATTTTTTTAAATCAATATTTTAGCATATAATAGCAAACTAGTAATGTAACCAGTTAAAATATGATGATGAGGAAACAAAGTAGAGTTACAGTAATGAGAAACCTACCTAGGAATAAACCTAACAAGAAATGTGCAAGGCTTATATGAAGAAACATTTAAAACATATGATCAAATGGATAGATCCGGAGAAGACCAATACTGTAAAGATGTACATTCTCCTCCACGTCAATCACTTCATTTGCCTTCCAGCTCCACAGGACTCAGCTTTGCAGCACCCTATGGCATATTTCCTAAAAACTCACCCATATACCAGTCCCCACCCAGGTGAACTGACACTTCTCACTGTGGGCCTTCCCTGCTCCCAGTGTGACCTGGCTGTCCACATCAGTTCCTTCATTTTTCTTCCCTACTGGACCATGAAACCACAAGGTCAGGCTGAGTCTGCAGCATCTAAGAAACCCCACAGTGGACTCCTGCTAGATATCGATAAAGACCATCTGTGTAAGCAAACAAACTGCCGTGTCATGCCAGGGACAAGAGAGAGGACCTGCCCCTTTAGTGCCCAAGAAGAACAGAGACACCTACTTTGGGTTTTGCAATCTCCTTGATCCTCTCGATTTCCTCATCAGACATGACATCGTAGTACCTGACGATGTGAGGGCTGTCCCACTCGTCCTCCTCTTTGAAGGGAGCAATGAGCAGCTGTGGCGCCCTGTTGCCATGGTGGTACCTACAGAAAAGCCTCTTCTGCTTCTGGGGTGTCTGGGGAGCACAGAGAAACAGGCCCCGAGCTGAGTCCTAACCCTCAGTCCCAGTCTGGCTGACTGCAGACACTGTTCTCACACCCCGTGGCCAGCAGCTGCTCCCTCCCACCCTGCCACAGAAGAAAACAAAAGCCCATCAGCTGACTGGCATGAAATGACACCCCATAAATCACACAATTTTTCTTCTCTCCCAAAGTCACCTCACGTCTGCAAGTCCTGTGATAGAGGGTAATTCCTGACCCCTTTCACAGAGATTTGAGTAAGTTCGAAGGGGTGGGGCAGGGAAGCATTTCCAGGTGATGGAGCCAGTGGGAGCCAAGCAGACATGAGCATGAAAAATGCCAAGAGCCTGCCTCACACCTGAGCCTCCTTGAGGAAGCAGTGGGATTCCAGGGCTCTCAAAGGCCACTGATGGCCGAGACAAAGCTTTACCACTAGCACTTGCTATGTCTTTATCACAGAGACTTCTGCTCCACTTGTACCATTACTTCCCTTGGGGCCTGTACATCCACACCCATCTTTCCTTCACTACAGTGAGTCAAGCAAAAGCTGGGCATGTTGAGATGGGAAGAGGAGCTCAGTCATAACTTAAGAGGATCAAAACTCTACCTGGACATCAGAGAATACCTACACATCAGCCTCAGCAGATGCTACGAAGAACTGGGGGAGAAGCTAAGAAAAGGACCTAATGACAGAGCAACATGCTCCCCAAATCTGCCTGCCCAGAGCCAGAGTCCAGGTCCACAGCCTGGGCACCATAACCCCCCTCATGTGCCTCACCAGTTTGATACCCTCCCCACGACAGAGGCTCTCGTACACATCCCTCTCGGGCAGGTAGTCCACAGGCCGCTCGTAGACGCCTTCTTGGGATGCTAGTTCAGCTTCTGTCTGATTTGATAACATTTTTTCTCTTTCTTCCTCCAGCAACTGCTCAAAGTACCGCAGATTCCCTCCAGCTCGTTCATGGCTTGGGTCTACAAAAAGCAAAGAAAAGGAAGGAAAAGGAAACCACAAACATCTGTTAAGTCATTTAGAGAAATTATTCTGTAAGTGGTTTCCCTCCCAGCATCTTGCTTGCACGCTGCATTCTGCCTTCCACACCACCCAACCAAGGTGCACTGATCGGAGCTGAAAAGCCAGCAGGGGATCTCCCACCTCGGTCAGAAATGAGAGAGAAGCATCATCAAAGAGGAGGACACTCAGCTAGCCACCAAGGAGGCTTCCTTCTCAGGCTTCCCTAGAGGTCCCAAGGTCCCAGGTCCAGAAAAACAGTCCAAAGTCCTGCCTCCTTCTCCCAACTTGGCTGTGTGCCTTTTACAACCATTCCCCAGAGTACGTCCACTGCTGGTAACCATATCATATGCTAGCCAAAGCTAGGACACAGGCTGAAATGCCAGCAAAAAGAACAGCCACAGCACTGTCTTGTGGACCTCACAACACCCAAAGCAAGAGAGTGGCAGGACTTCTATACCACTCCCCAGATAGGAAGTTGAGGCCCAAAGATGTTAAGAGACTTATGTTGCGGTTATATAGAAAAAGAATCCAAGTGTCTTGACTCCCTGTGCAAGGCTCTTACAAACTCACTTGACGAGATCCTCAAAGCGCTCTTCCTACATCAGTCTTGCAGGATTCTCATATTCTAGTTGACATCAGACTCAAGGCCACATGAAAAGCAACAGCATAAGAAAGTCTTTGCTGGTCTGTGAAATCCCAGATGACAACATTCTTACATATCAGTAAAAGGTGGAACAGATGGGTTTTAAAGGCACAGTGTTCTTGGCCTCCTTCAGTCCAACATCATAAGGCACACAAAGCACCAACGCCATGGTGAGTCGTACTGTTAGACCTCAGGCCTCTAACTAATAGCTCAAGTCACTGTTTGTCACTGCAGCAACCCTGAAGTACAGCTTGCTCAACCTGCTCCTGATGCAATGAAGGCTCCACCCTGCACAGTGCTGGATGCACCACAGCAGTGGGTCCTAATCAAAAAAGGGAGCATGTAGGTGCCACAGGGCTGAGTATTATCCGTCAGCAACTGGGCAGGGGCAAAGGCCAGGACTGAGGTGGGTAAGCAGCTGCTTGGTAGCTGGGCTGGGCCTGAAATCAGTAAGGCATTAGTCACTGGCCAGGTGACAGGTCAAACTGGCTCAGTCCAAGGAGAGGGATCATGTAGAAGCCAGCAAAGTCCAGTTCTTCTGCCACCCCGATCCCCACCTTACCTTCCCCTAGAATCTCCTTACCAAGGGAAAGCAGGCGGCGTGTGAGCTCCAGGGCACGGTGCAGGTCACCCAACTGGAAGACAGCATAGCTGAGGTAGTCCAGCACCTGGGACTTGGGTGTAGTAGCCTCTTCCCCAGCATCCAGCTGCTTTAGCACCTGCTCCATCCACAGCACCGTATGATAATAGTCCCCTTCATTATAGGCCGAGCGGCCCATTCCAAAGCAGTCATCCACACTCAGCATTGCCTGGTACTTGGTTCCTGCAGCAGGAGAAGCAAATAGCCAGGCTCCAAAGAATGTCTAGGTTAGGGAGGAAGATTCCCACTTCAATGAAAAGCCTGGGCCACTGAAAGGGGGCATTATCCAAGCAGAACCCTATCAGGGCTTTAGATCACACACACTAAAAGTCCATCGATACAGTGAGCACAGACAGGTTGGCCCGTCCCATTCTGAGGTTCACAGCCAACCTGCTAGCCTCAAACTCCCCTTCTCCCAAGTGGGAAGGGGCCTTGTCATGTGGAGCCCAGGAAGCCCACCAAGAAGTAGTGCTGAAGAGAGTATGAAGGTCCTGTGGGCCAAACAGGAGAAGAAATCTGGTGGGCAGCTGGCCATATAAGTCTGGAGGCTAGAAAAATTATCTGAATATAAAAAAAAAAACAGAATTTAGATGGCAGCAAAAGACATGGATAAGGATAATCATTTGCAGGAAGGAAGAGTCTGAGGAAAGAGTGGAGAACGTGGAGTCCCAGGGACCAACTGTCCAGAGAGGACGGACGGTGAATAACACTGAGAAAGAACTAAGAAGTACAGAAACGGAGTATGTGGGAGTGGTGTGACAGAGGCCAAGGGAGGCCAAGAGCCAGGGCTGCAGTGCCAGCTCTGGCTGTCAGGTGGCAGGGACTTTGGTGAGCACTAGCTCAGCACGTCTGTGACCATGGGTCATCTTCCACGGGCTGACGACTGGAAAGTGATCGTGAAGATAGTTTCAAGCCAATGAGAAGGAGCAGCTATAGGAAGATGCAGGATTTAGGGTGGCCTCAAGATGGGAAGGACTGTGTGTGTGTTCCTCAGAGAATAATGAGAAAATAGATCTCATAGAGAGCAAGAAGGGACTTTCCTCCCTGGAAAGCAAGGAATTCTTCCCACTATCCCCTTAACAGCAATCTGGATAAGGCTGACATGAAAGAACTGCCTCAGAGTGGGTTCTTTCTGCCTGATATCCAAGATGGGCCTCTGCCCAGAATGAAACCCCTACTGCAGTGGGTCGGCTGCTTCAGAGACCAGGGTCTGCTCCTCTGGTGGCTCTGGACCCAACAACATTCCTTTCTGGAATAGGAAGCTGGGGACAGTAAACAGAATCCCCCAGGGATTAGGGGGTTCCTGGGACCCTTTCCCCTCTCCTTAGGCCGCCACAGATCTTCTCTGGCTCTGTAGGCCCAGGAACCTGCACTGATGGAGGCAGTACAACACAGCTGAGTGAGCTGGATCTGCGTGAGCCTCGCTACGGCACCCACCAGCTGTGTGACTATGGACAAGCTACCTGGCCTAACTGTCAATCCCCTTATCTCTAAATAGAGATAAACCATCAATTTTAAAGGGCTTGTGACAAGAATTCAATGAGATGACATGTGAAGATGTCTCCTATGATCTCCAGGATACCAACAACCAGTAGCTATTACCAACATGTCTCACAGTTCCCAAGAATATTAAGAATGGGGAGGCTCCCAGGCACTCAACATCTCCCCCAAAAGCCAACTGGAATGTCTACTCGCTGGAGAGTACTCCCTGGAGAGTGACAGCTGAGCTGAGTGCTGAAGGGCAATCAGACAGCTGATATGAATAAAGAAAGTGGAATGAACAAAGGAGTTGAGCAATGGGGAAGCTGGATACAATGGGTGAGGAGGCCAGGGAGATGGGGTTATGCAGCACCTCAAAGACCACACAGAGGAGGAGTTTAGGTTTAGACCTGAAAATTAAGCATTGTGATCAGGAGTTCATGTGAACAGACATGTGCTTAAGTCCACAAGGAAGATGGTCTTAAGGAGTGAACTGGAGGTATGAGACAAGTCAGAATGGTTATTCAATAATCCAGTTGAGAAAGAAGTGGTCATGAGGCTGGAGTCAGGGGACAAGTACAGAAGACACTAGGGAGGTAAAATCCATAGGCTTTAGCATTCTGACTTAGGCAGCCAGTGATGAAGGTGTTTTTGCCAAGATAAGGGGTGAGGGAGGAAGGTAAACAATTCAAAAGGGGATAAGAATTTGAGTTTGGGACACATGACATTTGAGGAGTCCATGGCATATCCAAGCAGAGATGTCCCACAGGCATTCACCTACTCCAGTTGGAAGTTCAGGAGACAAGCCTAGGCAGGAAACACAGATCTGTATGTCATCCATGTACAGGCCACACCTCAAGTGATGGAAATAGCTGGGCTCACCTGCTGAAGGTGCTTAGGGAGAACATGAGGTAGGGGTGAGTCCTGGGGAGTAACTCCCTTCTGCCCCTCATCCCTATTCAGGACACTAACAGGTCTGTTAAATAAGTGTGAAAGGTCAATGCCAGGATATGGCTCCCTCCTACCACCAACCAATCTCACAGCTACAGTGTGAACAGATCTTGCAAGTGCCCTGAGCTGCTTTCTCACTCTGGCCTCATGACCTGGAATGGTCCAAGACTTGACAAAGGCAAAAATAAGAAGTCCACACCCCTTCCTGTTGGCTCATCAGACTCCTCAGTACCAAGGCTCCAGGCCAAGACCAGCCAATAATAGAGTCCCTCAGCTTTTGTCTGCTCTAGGGTCCCAGAGGTGAGGTGGCATCAAAGGTCTAATGGGGGCCTAACTGAATCTCTGGATTTACTGGTCTGTAATAGCCCCTGAAACCCAACATATCTTCTTATAAACATTAGGGCAGTCCGTGGGAAAGGGACCAGTTGAGAGAGAGAGAAAGAGGGAAAGAGAGAGGGAGAGGGAGAAAGGAGAGAGAGAGAGAGAGAGAGAAAGAGAGAGAGAGAGAGAGAGAAAAGGGGTGGGAGGGAGAGAGAAAATGAACGATAAGAGGCCAAAAGAGAAGAAGCAGAGACTGGCATACCAGGATTCAAAGGAGGGGAGAATATCAGGAAGAAGGGGGCAAGAAACATATTCAGTGCTGCTGAAATGTTAAAGAACATTATGCCTGAAACACATCCACTAGCTTCACCAGCAAAGTGGCCACTGGTGATCTTGCAAGAGCAGGACCAGTGGAAACTGTGGGGAAAAGAGCCAGACATTGTGGGTTCAGGAGTACACTAGAACCAGAGACACTGAGAAAGTGTAGATCACTCTATCCGGCAGCCTAACTAAGAGGGGAGAAGAGAAGAATCAGCGGCAGAGACTCAAAAGAGCATTGCATCCTAAAAGAGGTATCTGTAAGGTAAGCAAAAAACAGAACCTATGTGTGAGCTCAGGGGAAAGAGGTGGAGACAGAATGAACAGGAGCAGAGACTAACTGAGGGGATGCAGGACAGAGGGGCAGTGAGTCCAGAGATCAGCCTTGGCCAAAAAGAAATAGGAGGGTGGGGGAAGGAAGAAGGTCTGGATGCAGATCTGTGTGGTACTCGGGGGGCAGAGGCCAAGGATGTTCCTGAACAGCAGCCTCAGCTTTCTCTGAGACACAAGCAGACAGAACCCCAGCTAATATAGGAGGGAGGTGGCAGAGCAGGAGCTGAGGGGAGGTGACTGTCATGGCCACTGGAGATTGGCACCAACCGGGGACACAAGAGAGGATCACCTCCAGAGGTGACAGTGCACCTAAGGGTAGAGACCACAAGTGCTGGCAGTTCTAACCTGTCCAGCCACCAAAGAGACACACATGAACAGGTAAAGCCTGGAATGGTGAGGTACCTGGAAGATCCCCTCTGGAAATTGTGTCTGGGTCCAGCTTGTATGTGTCCTGAAGTCTCATCAGGGCCTTAGCAGCTCCCATCTCATCTTCATCAGTGGGGAAGAACTGCCGCTGCACTGAGAGGTTGGCAATAAAACCTTCCAATGACAGTGAGAACAAGAGATTACCCTTCATCCAGGGGCAGATTCCACCTGGGACCAGAGAAACAGCCACAAGGGGGTGTCTGCCTAGTGGAGTCTTCCTGCCCCTTCTCCCAAAGGCTGTTTCCCCTTCCACCAGGAAGTCATCCCTAATGGCTCCAGTCCATAGGGACTTTTCCCTTCTTACTCCTCACACACCTACTGCCTGTGCTGCTCATTTGGAACTGAACAGAAACAGCCCCCACACTGGTTAACATTTGGGAGTCTAGAAGTCTTGGTTCCAAAGCATTCAATCAGATCTGGTAGAAATAGAAAGAAGAGAGGACAGAGAGGGTAACTGAGAGGAGCACAGGAAAGGACTCAGGGAGGACTTGTCACCACCCAGTGGAAAATGAATCCCGTGAAAAACCTTGATCCAGAATTATTGGGCTGGCCAGGCAAACACAGACTTCCAGCCCACACCTCTGGTTAGGAGTCCAAGGGACAAAAGTAGGCAATTCAAGGAGCCTAGCTGGGGCAACTCATTACTGATCACTGGCCCTTATCACCCATAAAGGTAATGATGACAGTCCTGAAGGCATTTGGTACTGCCCTTATCCCCCAAATTACCAGCTGAGAGATCATCTGGCCAGGCCAAGCACCAAGATGGGGCTGCACCAGCCCAGCGTGGCTTGTTCTGCTTTGTAAGGTACTACTACCACTCAGACCTACAATGAGCTCAGAGCATGAACTCCCCAATTATGGTGCTCAGCATCACAGCCTGAAGCCCGAGAGAATCCCTAACCACAGTTCTGGGACTCTGAGCCCTAGCTATAAAGCAAGACATGTACCTCCTGCAATTCCAGGACTCCAGGTGGGAGCCAGACCCTCCCACGCTGATTTAGGACCTTTGATTCTGCCTGTGAGCTGGAACTCAGAGGGAAACTCCAAGGCCATTCCTTCCCTAGCTCTTCCCAAGAGCAAGAGCACCCACTGCCGCCTACTCTCACAATTTCAGGTTCAAACACCCACTTCTAGCCATGTCTGGGGACCCAGGAACCAAGAGGCTGCAGCCCTGTCTTCCCCACAGCTTCACAGTCAAGGACTCTAGAGTCTAGAATCCAGAAAAAATAAAACATGCCCCAAGAAAAAGCCAAACTGTCAATGTGCTCCCTAATTTCAGGGGCAGCAAGAACTCAACCAGAGATGAAAACAATCTTTTGCTCTCTGGGCCTGTACTACCTCCTTCCAGGTAATTAAAAGGTTTTTCAAAGGAACCAGGTGTTGGTGGGGTGAGGAAGGGGAAGGCGGGTGGAGAACAAGATCAAAGAGTGGAGGTCCTCCAAGCAGGCTTAGTATGCTGCAGTGCAGGCAGAACAGCCTGTTCTGAGCTACAGTCCCAGGCTAGGAGGCGGGAGTCTGAGAAAGGCAGCCATGGTTTCTGGAGGCAGTGAGCTCACTGGGCACAGCTCCAGCCCAGCTGAGCTCACCAATCCCTCCCAGAGGCCACCCTGTCCCCAGCCAAGCCCAACCCAGTCTGGCCGCATGGGCCGAAATGTCTCAGAGAGACAGCTAGTCTGAAGTTAATGAGTATTCCCAGCTCAGAGAAAAGAGACAGTAAATAGGAGTCAAGAGGGCCCACCTCCAGATCCACCCTGCCATCTCTTGTTGACAGGAAAGTGTTAGAGCATAGAAAGTACTACCACAGTAAAAGCACCAACCACAGTTAAAGGCTTTTAAAAAGTTCATACTCTGACCTGTAAATACTACTTCTAGGAATTCACCCTAAAATAAAAATGAGAGGTAGGCACAAAGACATATCTAAAAATTTCCTGATAATTTGGAAACAATCCCAAGTCCACTGACTTGACCAGTTTTACAGTGTATCAGCATGACAGATTACTGTCCAGCCACTAAAATCATGTTGCAGAAGAACATTTCATGGCAGATAAACTGGGAAATTCAGAAAAAGAATTTATGCTTATGTCAAAAATCTGCCAATAGACATGTTTTGTTTGTAAAAGGTATGAATAGGCCTATGCTCCCCAGCTTGCCCTGGTCCCATCACCTAGACCATTTGACTCATTTTTATTAATTCACTTGTCCCTCAAAGCAAATGCACCCTGATATATATATGCATGGTTCCATTTTTTAAAAATGTATATGCATGTGTAGAAAGACTGCAATTTTAATAGTGCTTATCACTAGCCTATTAGATTAAGAACTGTAATTTTCTTATGTGATTGTTTTTCTTTCCAACTCTTCTATAAAAACACGTATTACTAAAGTATAATTTTTTATAAATGTCATTACTAAAAAAATAATAATAATAAAAACACCATGAAAAGTCAAAAACTGATTATTACTACATGTTAGAAAACAAGGACAGCCAATTGCTAGGTCCTCACAGAGAATAGAGAGAGCATGGGCTGGCAGGGTCTGCATTCACACACCATATTTGCCCACCAACACCTAGACCCCAAACAGGCTCAGACCCAAGTGCCCAGGCATGAGCACACAAACATATGGGCTCACTGTCCCTCACCTGCAGCTGAGTCCTGCAGGACAAGGTCCTCTAGTGCAGGCCAGTCTGTGTTCAGCCGCTTCACCAGCTTGTAGGCATTCACAGGGTGGGCCAGGTAGCCCTCAGGATCAGCAGCCGACTTGCTAGTCAGGGCTTCCATTCTGTCAGCCCAGCTGTGGAACCAGAGGAAAAGGAAGAATAACACACACACCATCATAGGTCTTCCCCTGTGGTAATTGCCCTAGTGAAATAGATCCTTTTCATCAAGAGGCAATACAAATATAGTAATTTTCCAGTTCTAGCCCCTTAAACTAGATAAGAGCTGAAACTCCAATGTAAGCAAAAGGTCTTAAATAGAAAGGGAAAAAATGATGATTTTTTAGCCCATGTACTTAGCTACTCTAGAGGACTGGCATGAACTAACCACCAGGCAAGCCCCATGCCACCATCTCAAGGGATTCCTCTTATAGGCAACCTGGATGGGTTCCTGGGGGCAGGGGGAAAAGAGGGCTGACTCAGCGTGTGTGCAGAGACTTAGGACACCTCTTAATCTTGAAGAGCTTGGCTTCCTCCACGAGGATATACTCCTTGAGAGACTGCACCAAGTCTTTCTCTGCATAAATCAGGTCAGTCATGTGCCCTGCAAGGGAGACAGAAAAGGGCTAGTGAGAAAGAGATGGTCCATCCTCCTTTCTTGGGGCACAGAACATCAGCACAGAAGCAAGTTCTCTGGGCCAATGGCATGTCAACTCTCTGGGGATCATGGGGTCTTGGAGTTAAAGGGGACATAGGCACTCACATGGTCCTGGCCCCCAACTTCAAGAAGAGAGAAGCAGAGGTGCCAATGGGATGTTTGTGATAAGTGTATCTGGGGTTATCAAGGAAGAAGCCCCAAATCTCATTCTCCCGCCGATACCCAGCTTGTCATGTCACTGGGCTCATCATATGAAACATCCTAGAGGCTCATCACATGAAAACAATCTCTGAAACTTCAGGTCAGAAGGAGAGGAGGAGCTGGACACAGAGTGTTCACTGCTGAGAACCATTCTTTGGTCCAGGGGTAAGGTGGTCAGAAAGACCAGAGTCCAAATGCAGCCTGCACACTTCCCAGAGAGGAGAGCCCACAGGGCTGTCACAGGGGCTGGCTCCCAGGACTTCCAGACCATCAGGATCTCAGAGGGGAAAACAGCAACTTTGCAAGCTCCACTCTCCCCAGAACTGGCCAAAACCAGTGGATGCAGCCAACCCGTCCTGAATGTGAACAGGCCTCAGGAAGTGACATCCCTAGCATTTGAGCCAAGGGTTGCTAAGGTAGATTATAGTTTTGTTAGCACATACCAATAGAGGTAAAGAATTCGGCCCGTATGCAGCTCAGGACACCAAACAAGGCCATCAGCAATGTGGACGCCTGGAATTTCATGGTCACAGAGGGAGGTGTCTGCAAGGCATTCAGTGGCATTCACTGGATCAACACAGTGAAAAAGAGCAACTTAGCTGTGGAGATGTATACACTTGTGTACACATACACACATAATTAAACATACCAAAATCCTGGCCTACCATGGAGAAGCTAAAGGATATTCAGGATCTCTAGTGGAAAGATCACAGGCTGTGGAACCAGTGGTATGCGCTCAATTCTGGTCTCAGCTCTGTGAAGCCACGTGCCCCGGAAAAAGGCCCCATCCTCTCAACTCCTGGTGACTACCTACAACGTAAGAAGGCTGAAACACAGTGGGGTACAGTCACCTCTAGTGCTAATTATCTGTCAGTCCAAGATTCTGGCCAACCCCTCCTCATTTCACAGACTACCTGTCTGTTTCTATCTTACATTCCAACACATGTGCCAGGATAGTACCAGGTGCTGGGGACCCAGCCCCTGCCCACAAGGAGGTGACAGTACAAGAGACAATGACAGAAAGAAAAGTTGGCGCAATACACTCCAGAGGACCCACTCCCAAAGGTGTACAGCAGATGGTCAGCCAGAAGAGGAATAAAACTGACCCCTGCCGGTCTGCACCTGCCACAGAGAGAGAAATCAGGGGAGCTGGACTCCTGAGCAGACACTGTTCTTCCTGTGGTGAGACTCCTTGGCAGACACTGTCCTCACTGGCCAGTTACCATTCATTCACAAATATTTACTGAAGACTCACAAATGCCAGACACTGAGGGAGGCACTCAGAATACAAAAATGAATCAGCCACACAAGGCCAAAACCTCGGGCTGGCTGCTGGCATGGGGAAGAGGCCAGCTGCTGTCTTCTCATCTGCCTAGAAATAGGCAGACCCAACTCCGAGGGCAGCTGGCACAATTTGGGTGAGCCCCACTGACAGTGGACCTAAGAACACATTGGAAGCTGCAGACACTGTCTCCCAGCTCAGCCACACAGCCCAGAGCATGCTGAAGGACCAGCACCCATCTGGGCCCCTGCTCTGCCAGTCCTTCCTCTTCCTGCTCTACTTTAGCCAAGTCACACCAATTGCTCAAATGGAAATTTACTAAGAAAAAATAAGGAAAATAAAGGAAATATAAATGATTCCCCAAAAAACATAAGCATTATCTGACAGAATTCTAAGTCTGAGCTGACTAATGCCAGTCCATTAACTTTTTGCTTGCCATAGTTGATTAGAAACAGTCATACCCACTGCATTAGTCCACTTCTGTTGCTTATAACAAAATACCTGAAACTGGGTAATTTATAAAGAAACAATATTTACTGCTTACAGTTTTGGAGGCTTGGAAGCCCAAAGTCCAAGGAACACATCTGGTGAAGGCCTCATTGCCAGTGACAGTGATGCAGGGATCTCACATGGCAGAAAATGGAGTAGAGAAAGAATAACCTCCTCATTCGCGCTCTTTTTAAAGCCACCAGAACCATTCCTATTTTCCAAGAATGGATCATTCATTCATGAGGGTATCCAATGATACCTCTCCAATCAACCTCTCCAAGGCCCCACCTTTCAATTACCACGATGGGATTTCCTAGCCTCTTAACCTCTCACAGTGGGGGTTAAGCTTCTTATACATGAACTTTGGGGGACACAGTTCAATCCACTGTACCCATTCCTCATCTCACCCTTTCAGAAGATACCCCAATCCATATGGTTCCAGGTTAGGCTCAGAAAAGGCCAACCACAACCTCCATCCCCAAATGGGTTCCTCTATCAGGAAGAAAAGAGAATAAATGAATGGCCCCATGTATTCATGCCCCTGCCAAATGTCTGCAGAGCCAAAAGCATGCCTATCACAGACTAGGCATTGGGGACCCAGAGGCATACAGGACAATTATCTTTCAACCCAGAACCCGCTACAAGATAGGGAGTACTGGGCTATGCGGTCCATTATAGACTTAGGGCGGCAGAACACAGTAACTGAAAGGTGGTGAGTAGGCCTGGGCTAGCCCTGAGGTGGAGCCCAGGACCTCCTGGTTCCAGCCACAGATCTGCTCCCAGTCTGCACCATACTGCCTTTTCCATCCCAGGACTCCAGAAGGCCTCTTTTTTACTTACACAAGCCCCTTTCACTTAAAGGAGTGGGTGTCTGTTCCTTGTACCTCAAGAGGCTTGACTACTTCAGGACAGCACCTTCTGTGTGTAAAGAGGGGACCAGAGCAGGCAGGATATATCTGTGGACAGTGAAGGACCAGCAGTCTTCCCCTCAGAGCTGGGTGGTGGGAGAGCAGGGCCCAGGTAGGAGACCAGATTAGAGATGGTTGGAAGTGGGAACCCCAGTACTTCTCCCCTGCTGTGTCACCAGGTACAGCTGCACACCTCTTCAGAGATCAGGTAACAGATTCTGGGGAGGGAGAAACCTCTCCATTCCTTTCAGATCACCCTGCTGATACCATTTATAGCTTATACCTTATAACACTCAGGAAAAATCAGCCAGGTTTTTTCATTACATGAATACCAACTGTCATTTCTCTGGAATGTGTTGTCTGGCTTACTGAGCCCATCCACAAATCCCAGCCTGGAGGCAGAGCCTCAAAGAATCAAATGGGGTTTTGGGAAATAACTTACCAAGAGCCTGCAAAGTCCTGCTCCGGCAGGAAAGGAGGATGATGACTCTGCTGGCCCAGAGAGCTGGGCACCCCCAAACAGCTCCTAGATTACCACATCAACACTGCCATGCCAGACAGGGGTATCTTGGAGCCCCATCCTGTCTCTCCTGATCCTGGGCCCCTGAACTCAAAGGCTTTATACAACAGGTCATCTAATGAGGGTCAGACTGGGAAAAGGCAGCATTCAAGAGGGACTGTGCCCCACAATGTGGGAAAATCCAACCCCCACCCCATTTCATATCGACACCCAGAGCTTGATTAGAACAGAGTAGGTCAGAGTATGTGTGCCTACCCAGTGCCCTCACAAAGTATCCAGTGCTGCCAAAAGCCCTCTCAGGAAATCCATGCAGAATGCTCTCAGAAATCCATGCAGAATAGGCCTGGAGAGACAATGTCAAATCCCCTTTTATGAAAAACAAAGTGGCACCAAGCCTGAGCAGAATGACAATGTTAAGTTTTATGTGAGCTGCATCCCCAAAGTTTAAAACAATTTCTGCCCTGTATCAGGCACCCAAGAAATAATACTTCATCACAGATTTGTTCGAATTAGAAAACTACAGCAACAGAAGATTTTACATTTCTTCCGTATAATGGATTGTCAGGGAGTATATAAGAATGAATGCTGTATGTATATCAACATGGAGATCAAAGCATACTCTAGTGAGGGCCGGCCCGGTGGCACACTGGAGAGTGCGCCGCTTGGGAGTGTGGCGGCGCTCCCGCCGAGGGTTCGGATCCCATGTGGAGACCGGTTCCCGCTCACTGGCTGAGCGCGGTGCGGGGGCAACACCGAGGGTTGTGATCCCGTTGCCGGTCCGTAAAAAAGACAAAAAGGAAAAAAAAAAAAAAAAAGCATACTCAAGTGAGAAAAGGAGACCCCAAACAATACATACTCTACAATCCCATTTTTGTAAGAAAAAATTCATATGTGTGTGTGTATGCAAGAAAAGAGTTATCTAGCTATATCTCGGTAAAGTGATTTTATTTTTCTTCTTACGTTTATTTGTTTTCTTAATCTCTCTACAAGGGATTCTATAGGAATTTTTTTAAATTTTAAATTTTATTTTTTTCATTGTATGTGTTTATGGGGTACAATTTGTTGTTTGAATATTAAAATATTTTACAATATACTTAAAATGTAAAAGAAACAAAACGGACCCTTCTCAAATAGACTCCAAAGGGGCCCTGACAGCCCCAGAGTTTGAACCCCCACAGGGAGGTTCTGCAAAGCCTGCCAACACCCCAGCGACAGTGATTCACCCACCAGGCAACTGGCACTGTTTCTAAGCACAGGACAATTCCAAAACACACAACCAGAGGCCCCATCAAGCCTGTTCTTTGGAACGCACATTAACAACCTGGCCAAATGGCCATGAAAAGATGTTTCCAGCTGCAAACCAGCAGCGTCCTTAACTTCTCCCCTTACCTCATCATGCAGGACCCTCTGCCAAGCTCCCAGCTGCAACTCAAATGCAGCAGCTTGAGTTTTAACAATGTATTTAACAGCCTAGAGACAGAACATGGGTTTGTTGAGAACAAACATGTCTTGGTTGGCACTGAACAAGAGGCGGCCTGCCTTCTGTGAAGTGGCAAAACCTGCCTGAACAGACAGAGATCCCCCTCCCCCATGGCCCTGCTGCCTCCCAGTGCTGTGGCCAACTCTGGGATGGCAGAATTGAGAGGACCTATATGCTCAACCTAGGAGGAGCTGTGCAGAGAGGCTCCAGGAGACCTTGCCACCAAAGCACATGGATGTCCATTCGGGCCCAAAGTTGCTATCACTGGCAACCCAGGGAAGGATGGGAGGCATCCTACTCCCCTTACCTGATGCCATGCCTCAGCCATCACGCTGGTCTGAGCCACCCCTAACTCCCCCTACAGCCATCCTGGTCCCCACCTGCACTGGCATCTCCACATCTCATCTGGACTCCCTCCCACCTCTGCTCTACAAAGTAGCCAGCACAGCTTACTGAAGCCCCTCCTTTAGCTATCTATTGCCATTAGGATAAAGCCCAAACTCCTTAACCCAAAGGGCCTTTCTGACTCTATATGACCTGGCCCTGCTGCCCTCTCCACCCTATCTCACCACTCCAGGTTTGATATCTTCAACAACTACATCTTGTGAAAAATAGTCTCTTTCACCAAGAATCTAATGAAGCCTAGATGTTCATCTTCATCTATCCTTATACCTTCTCTATTCGTACATGAACATGTTGATTTCTACTTCTCCACTTGGGTACCATCAAATCCACAGTCTCCTGCTTCAGTAACTTGACAATGAAGTAGCAGAGAAGGCTGTTAAAATCAACATGCAAATGCCAACTTGGCTTTTCAGTCATAGTCTTGGCAAAGACTTGGCTGTCTGGGTGAGACTAACTCATAAGAAGGAACTACACATGAGGACAAAGTCCATACACCACTACACTAGATGCGACTTACATACTGCCTCGTACTCTCTTGGTCTC